GGAGGAAGTGTGATGAAGATGGTGGTTTCTGATGCGAAGAAGGTTTTGGCATGAAGATCCAGGGAGATCTTGAAAGATTTCTGGGCGAATGTTCTTGAAGGCAGTTAATGAACATCTGGAAACAATTGAGGTTCTTGATGAAGATCTGGAAAACATTCTTGAGAGTTTTCACGAAGAAGATGAAGATCTGGTGAAGTTTCTGGAAAATCCTTGAAGATTGCACGGAAACGACGAAGGTTTGAAGCTCGCCTACAGATTCGATGAAGGTCTGAGAGGTTAATGTGCAGATCTTTGAAGTTTGTTAGGATTCATGAATGAACACTGTTGAACACGGATGAATATCCTGAAAAAGATGGAAGTTGTTGAAGATTATGGTAATTTCTGGAAAAGTTAATCCGTGAACATGATGAAGGTTGAACGAAGAAGATCTCGATGAAGATCTGGAAATCGTTTCGAGGTTGAATGTTCTTGATGGATCTATGAAGATTGCTGAAGTTATTTGAAGATGTTTGATTCACGAAAATGGTGAATCGGAGGTTTGTTGATGGTGTTTCGTAGATGATGAAGACGAAGGTAGATCTAGGTTGGATTGATTTTCTGGAAAAAACGGATGAAGATGTGGTGAATGTTGTTCGGAGATGGTGAAGAACACGGTGGAGAGGATGAACACAATGAAGAACACGGTGGGAAATTGCAGTTTCCGACGACGGTTAGCAGTTACCGGTGACGGTTCCGGCGAGATTTGGGTGGCTTTCGATTTCTCCGGCGAAGGTCGCCGGTGTTTGCATGCCGGCCGGTGAGGGATGACACATGAGTGGTACGCGTGGCAGTGTGTGGTAAGAGAGGGACGCGTGGAGTGTGAGGTGGCGTGGAGAGAGAAAACGCGTGTGGCTGCTTTATATGAAGACATGTGGCACTGCACGAACTGGGCCCCCAGAATTGGACACTTGGTCCATAGCAGACGAAAAAATGATTAACAGTGACTCCAATTAATTTTGATTCAACTAATGACTTAATGATGATTAAAAATGATGATTAATACTCAATTAAAACCTAAACAAAAATTAAAGCTAATCTAAACCTAATTAAAGCTAATTAACTGAAAAGTAATTGCTAATTAAGACCTTAATTAAAAATTGATTAAAAACCAATTAATCTCTAAGAATTAATTCTAAAAAGAAATTAAAATCCAAAATTAACTCTAAAACCTATTAAAAATTCTAAAAAGAGTTAAACTAACCTATTAAATTCTAAAACTCAATTAATATCTAGGGAAGAAATAAATCTATTAAATCTAGAAAAGAACTATTAATACCTAATAATGTCTAAAAATATTCTAAAGAATTTAAAATCTAATAAATTCTAAAAAGAAATAAACTAATCTAAAAAGAAATTAATTTCTATTAATTCTAAATCTCATTATATCTAAACAATTCAATAATATCTATAAATTTCTAAAAAAAATTAAATCTAGAAAAGAAATAACCCTATTAATTTCTAAACAAAACAATTAATATTTATAAAGAGTTAAATCTATTAAAAAATAGAAAAAACTATTAAACCTAATAAAATCTATTTAAAATCTATTAATATCTAGAAATAAAATCCTAAAAATCTGTTTAAAATGTAAAGAATATTCTAATAAGCTCTAAAAATAGAAAAAAATATTAAAAACCTATTAAATGCTAAAATAGAAAATTCAATCTAAAAACATTTAAAAATCTAATTTCTATGCTAACAATAGGATATAAAAATCTAGAAAATTGCTAATAATTTCACGAGGGAATAAAAACATCAAATCAATTTCATCAGCGAACAAAATCGCGAGAATGCAACGAGATAACCGGTAAAAATACGGGCATTAAAATATCCTCAAAAACAACAGTAAAAGCTGAAAACACTGGGAAGAGCACAGCTCCCAAAAATAAATCTTCGTACTCGAACTGGTTTGAACTGCCTGAAATGCGAATATAGGGCTGTAATCCCGATAAAATCAATCTGGCCGAAAAATGCAATGAATGCGATAGGCGGATGCAAAATGCAAAATGAGTCGAAACATAAGTCAAATAACGAGAAATGGTTGGTCAAATTTTAGGGTGCAACAAGGAGCAAGATAAAGGCTCACTAAGTCAAGGTGTTAAGGAGACATTGAAGGATTCAAGAAATAGAGACAAGAAAGCTCTCTTCCTCATTTATCAATCAGTGGATGAAAATACATTTGAGAAGATCTCCAATGAAACGAAGGCCAAAGAAGCATGGGATAAGCTTCAAACTTGCAACAAAGGAGTGGAGCAGGTGAAAAAGATTTGTCTCCAAACTCTTAGAGGTGAGTTTGAACGTTTATTTATGAAAGAGTCTGAGTCAATTTCTGATTATTTTTTTCTCGAGTATTTCCCGTAGTCAATCAACTTAAAATAAATGGTGAAGATGTTGATGAGGTGAAATTCATGAAGAAAATACTTCGCACTTTAAATCCAAGTTTTGACTTCATTGTTACCAATAATGAAGAAAACAAGGTTTTAAAGACCATGACTATTGAACAACTTATTGCTTCCTTACAAGCATACGAAGAAAAAAAGAAGATAAAAACTAAACAAAAGGAGGCTATGGAGCAACTACTACAACTCAGCGCAAAGGAAGCAAACTATGTGAATTACAAGAGCCAAAGAGGACGAGGACATGGAGGATAAAGAAGAGGCAATTACAACAACTACTCCTACAACTTCAACAATGGAGAAAGAAGTTGGAATCCACAAGCAACAAGAGGTCATGGAAATGGAAATTCATGGTTAAGGTGCGAAAAGTCACAAATCAAGTGCTTCAATTGCAACAAGATCGGTCATTATGCATCTAAGTGTAGATTCTCAAAGAAGGTTGTGGAGAAAACTAACTTTGTAGAAGAAAAAGGTGGAGAAGAAGAAACTTTGTTGTTCGTGTGCCAAAATCAATTTGAAGAGAAAAGAAAAAAGTGGTACCTCGACACCGGCACAAGCAACCACATGTGCAGAGATCAAAGCATGTTCGAAGAGATCAATGAAGCGACAACTGGAGATGTCTCATTTGGAGATGACTCAAAGATACCAGTCAAAGGCAAAGGTAAAATTCTCATACGCTTGAAAAATGGGAGTCATCAATTCATATCCAATGTCTACTATGTTCCTAACATAAAGAATAATATTTTGCTTGAGACAATTATTAGAGAAAGGCTATGACATCCACTTGAAAGAACATAGTCTTTTCTTAAGAGATTGTCGACATAATTTGATTGCTAAGGTGCCTATGTCAAAGAATAGAATGTTCCTCTTGAACATTCAAAATGATGTGGCAAATTGTCTCAAGGCTTTCTATACCGACTCTTCGTGGCTATGGCATATACGATTTGGACACCTTAATATTGGCAATCTAGAACGTTTGTCAAAGAAGGAGATGGTAAGAGGCTTGCCTAGTATAAACCACCCAGACCAACTGTGTGAAGGATGTCTAGTTGGGAAGCAATTCCGAAAAAGCTTTCCAAAGGAATCAACGTCAAGAGCGACAAAACCGCTAGAGCTCATACACACCGATGTCTGTGGACCAATCAATCCAAACTCTTTTGGTAAAAGTAAACACTTTCTCTTCTTTATTGATGATTATTCCAGAAAAACGTTAGTTTATTTCTTGAAGGAGAAGTCGGAAGTGTTTGAAAACTTTAAGAAGTCCAAAGCCCTTGTGGAGAAAGAAAATGGTCTTTCCATTAAGGCCATGAGATCTGACCGAGGAGGAGAGTTTACTTCAAATGAGTTCAACAAATATTGTGAAGACCATGGAATCCGCCACCCACTAACAGTGCCAAGATTGCCACAACAAAATGGAGTAGCGGAGAGAAAGAACTTAATCATAGTTAATATGGTGCGAAGCATGCTTAAGAGCAAGAAAATGCCAAAAGAGTTTCGGGCCGAAGCAGTGGCATGTGTGTTTTACCTGATAAATCATTCCCCAACAAGAAGTGTGCATGAGAAGACACCACAAGAAGCATGGAGTGGAAAAAATTCGGGGATCTCTCACCTCAAAGTGTTTAGAAGCGTTGTCTATACCCACGTTCCAGATGAAAGGAGAACAAAGCTCGGTGATAAAAGTGAGAAGTACGTATTCGTGGGTTATGACTCAAGCTCCAAATGGTACAAGCTCTATAATCTAAATAGTGGAAAGATTGTCATAAGTCGTGACGTGGAGTTCGAAGAAGAAGATTGTAGGGAATGGAGTGTTCAAGAAGACAGGTACGATTTTCTTCCTTGCTTTGAAGAAGAAGAAAATGAAATGGAACAACCAATGATAGAGGAACATATTACACCACCTGCCTCACCGACACCAAGGGTGGATGAAATAAGCTCAAGTGAAAGGACACCACGACTAAGGAGCATTGAAGAGCTTTATGAGGTAACCAAAAACCAAGGGTGTGTTGAAAGATTAAACTTGATTTCTGCCTAACCTTATTATTTGTGTTTTGGATTTTTGGATTTAGCTATTTTTGGCTTAGGTAGTTTTAATTAATATTTCTAGAAAACTCTTGTAATATTTAGAGTGTCTAGATATTTCTTAGGGTTGTAATATTTTCTAAAATGCTCTTGACATTTCTAGAGTTGAGAACTCTCTAGAATTAGTTTGTCTAGAGTTCTCCTTAGATTACTATAAATAGAGATGTAATTCTACACTTTTGTATCAAGCAAAATATAAAATTTTCTCTTCTATAAATAATTCTCCTATCTATTAAGTTTTTATCTAAATCTCTAATATTTCCATATACTAATCACAAAAGCTTTATTTCCAACAAAAGAAACATAACACCGATTACATTAACCTTCAGTTGTTATATACAGTACAACATATCTAAGATGATATTCATACAAAGTAAATAGAACATGTAGGAAAAAAAAAAAACTGAAACAACAACAAAGTGCATTCACTATTAACTTTGCAAAAACTTCACTCCATTTGATTACACCAATTTCTTCTGTAACTTCTCACTGTATCCCCAGAGCTTGAATCCTCCTCACCATTGACAAAGAACTACCATTTCTTTCCCTCCAATCCTCCCTACTTTCCTTCTTTTTCATGTTCAACAATTTCTCATTTCCATCAAGAATACTCACAATTTGTTTCATGCTTGGTCTCAATTCAGGATCAGAACTTGTACATACAATTCCTAATCTCACCAACCTCATCAACTCTTTCTCATTATACTCTCCATTAAGTCTTACATCAGCTAGTTCCTTCAATGATCTTTTCTTCATCACAAACTCATGAACTTTCTTCACCAAAAGAACCTCTTGGTACCGAAAATCCACTGCCATTTGTCCACTTACAACTTCAAGCACCACTACACCGAAACTATAAACATCGGCAGCCGTGGTTGCTTCGCCCGTTTCCACGTATTCTGGAGACATGTAACCGAAAATCCCTCGAACGGATTTGCTTCGGTCGTTGACTACATGATGGTTTCCATGCTCGTTTCTTGATAAAAATTCGGCTAGAGCAAAACTGGTAAGTCTTGGATTCATATCTTGCTCGAGAATCACAGCAGAAGAAGTGATGTTTCGGTGAATCACTTGTTCGTCCCATTCTTCATGTAGGTAATGAACAGCAGAAGCAAGCGATTTGACTATGTTGTACCTATGATTCCATTCGAGTACCGAACCATTCTCGCCTTTGTTATGAATTTGGAGAAGTTGTTGACTGAGAATTCTACTGGCGGAGTAATCATAAACCACGAGCATCTCCCCTTGTTCGGTACACCATCCGCGAAGCTGAACCAAATTCCGATGCCTAAGCTTTCCTAGATTTCTGAGCTCGTCCGAGAATCGAACGCGCAGCGCAGGACACGTCTTCATTCCCAACCTTTTCACCAAAACATGACAATCATCGTCCAGGATTCCATGATAAGCAGTCCCAAAGTCTAGTTCAGCTACCCTTCTTGACTCTGAGAAGTTTCTTGTAGCACAGACAATCTCTTTGTACGAAATTTCCCTAGGAGTTTCAACCACCGGAAAGTTCGGCCTGTGATGATTCCGATTCATGCTCTTCGAAGAAACGATTCCGGTGTTTTTGTTTTCTGCTGTCACATAAACTGTTTCACCTGCAGCTGTGAAATAGTTTGTTGAACTATTATAATTTGTGACTAAGCTTACGCTTTCTACGGCCGAGGCTGAGATCGTGCCGCTCGTGCTACTAGGACTAGTAGTCTCAGAAGGTGAAGACAAAGAGATATAAAGAGGGTGTGACAGAAATGAAGGAAGTGAAGGAAGTTTGAAACTTAAATCAGAAAGTGCTTCCACAACCCATTTCATATTAGGCCTCAAATTCGGATCATGAAGTGTGCAAAGAAGACCTATATGAATGAAATGCTTCATCTCAGAAAAATTGAATGATGATGCTGACGATGATGATCCATCTTTTTGTAGCCTAGTATCAGCTGCTTCTAGAAGCTTCCCTTCGTCGCTAAGCCTTCGAATCCAATCAAGCAGAATGATTTTCTCATCAGAATATGCTAGATCTATTGCTCTTCTACCAGATACAATTTCAAGCACAACAATCCCAAAGCTAAAAACATCGCATTTCGATGTACCATTGCTCGGTTTTTGCAAGCTTTCTGGTGGAAGATAACCAATTGTTCCACCAATTTTCGATGTTTCCCCGAGCTTGAAATGATCGATTCTACTCGAAGTTTTCTTATTGCTACTGCTGCTGCTGTTATAATTGTACTTAAACTCATACTCAAGTTCATGTTCCAACCACCTCGCCATTCCGAAATCGCCTAACTTAGCATTGTAATGCGAATCAAGCATAACATTACTTGTTTTCACATCTCTATGAATGATTTGAGTCTCCAACTGTTCATGTAGATAATACAATGCAGCAGCCAAACCTTTAACAATCCTACATCTCTGTCCCCAACCAAGAATCTCGCCTTTCGAAATCTCCTTCCGTCGAAAAAGCACGCGATCAAGGCTTCGATTCGGCATGTAATCATAAACAAGATGAAGTTGATCTTCATGAACACACCAGCCTCTCAACCTGACGAGATTCTTGTGACGAAGATCGGCTACGGCCGATAACTCGGCTAAAAAACTCTTGTCAAACTGTTTACCTTTCTCTGATAAACAGCATTTCACAGCAACCAAAGTTCCATCACTTGGCAAAAGTGCTTTGTACACTTTTCCAAAGCCTCCACTTCCTAGAACTTGTTCTTCACTGAAACCATTAGAACCTATGAAAAGTTCTGCATAGCTGAAAATCCTTGGATTGTCTCTTCCAATTTTGACAGCAAATTGAACACCATCCATGTCATGAAACATAGTAGTAGAAGAACCTCTTGAAGAGTTTTTCTTTTTTGCTTTTTGCAGCCCCTTATGTCTGCAAATTCTTTTTGCACCTCCCCACCACCTTGAGCTACATAACTTGCTCAAAGAATCATGAAGCAAATCAAGAACATGTTGTCCTCCACCACCACAAGCACTTGAAGGGTTTCTAGACTTAGGTTGTTGCTGCTGTTGGAAACCTTTTTCATGTTGTTGTTTCATTATTTCACCCGAATTTTGTGGTAAAACAATGCAAAGGCTATGAAGTTGCATGATTTTGGTTAATTTGAGGAATGGTTTTGTTTGAGAATGTTTTGAATATGTAGTACATGTGTATCATGAGATGATGATGATGTTGAAGGTGTTATTAAAGAGGTTTATTTTGTTGGCATATTAATTGTTGTGTTGTGATGTGTTTGGTGGTAATGTTCAACGCGTTAAGTATCAAGAGTTGAAATTTGTGCAACTATGTGCCAAATTGGAACCTACCTTTTTGTGATGTTGCCTATATTCTCTCCATAAGGCGTTTACCATTTTCATTGGAAATATTAAATTATTACTACTAGAAGTAGTAATTAAATTACTATATAGTTTTTGAAAAATTCAATTTATGGTTTCAAACTTTTACATTAATGTGAAAACAACAATGAATAAAGTTAGAGGGATAAGGAGAAAGATTAGGATGAAAAGTGACTCTTTAAAAAAATATTATTTATTTTATGTGTGAAAAATTTCACAAAAATATTTTGAAAGTGATATATTTCGGTTAACAATCATGCATTCCGCCAAATCATACTGAAAATTTTAAATTATTTATATGATATGTTAAAATGATATATTTCTATTGAATGATAGTGTAAAATATTTTTACCCAGTCAGTGCATAACAATTAAATCTTTGATATTGTATATAGATTATTTTTAAATTTATTTTTAATAATGTGAAATTATTTTGATAAACTAAAAAAGAAAATTAGTGAATATTCTTCCTTCTAGATATGTAATTAAATCAACGTCACATTATTTAATCCTAAGTCAATGTCATGGTATATTATGTGAAACATTAAGATACGTAAGAAAGGGGATTTTGTCATAAACATCGAAACAAGATGGGAAAAGAATGATAGCGGTGGCTGCGAATGATTCCATTAATTTGAACTCATTTGATGTAAGAAAGTTGGGTTTGTTTGTGTCATTAGATTGGTTTGAGTCATTGATTATGCTTGATTTGCAAATATTATCTAGTCCAAAAAAATAAAAAAATTCAATTCAACATAAAGATATTCTAATTTCTAGAATGAACATAGTGAAAATGGTCGATTTCTAGAATGAACACTGAAATGGTATATTAATTCTTTTGTTAAATGGACGAGTTAGATTGAATTGTATCTACCTCGAAACAAATTATAATATTAGATTAATCAATTTTATAAAAGATTTTTTCTTTAGATTATTTTTTTCTCAAATTTATGAAGATGAAGCTGGTGCTGAAATTGAAAAGGTAAAATTATTATTTAATTTATTCTTTTTATTTATCAGGTTCTACAAAATCAAAAGTTGAGAACATTGAAATAAATTTAGTTTTGAAAGATAGATGCTAATATTTTTGAAGAAAAATTATGAGTTTTTTTGCGAATATTTTTCATGTCGGATCAAATAAGTAATACAAAGATATTGAGATGTTGAAATACGAACAATTGTAAATTTATTTGAATTTTTTATTTAGAATCAAATAGGAAGATAAAAAGATACTGATTTTTGTCACATAAAATAGAATAATACAAATGTTGTTATTTTGTTTTGAAGTTTCTTTGCTATGTTGATTTGGAATTTGTTTGGAGTTCTTTTTCTATTTATTCTAGGAACTATGGTGTTAAAGTTTTTGTGGAAATTATTTGGAGCAAGATACATATGTTATTATTTTCTTATTGAATGAAGAAGTGGAAATGATGAATGAATGAAGTGAATTAGATGTATTTTGTTCAATGAAGAAACTATCTATTTTGATGAATGAATGAAGTGAATTAGATGTATTTTGTTCAATGAAGAAACTATCTATTTTGATGAATGAATAAGTGATATATTTTGTTAAATCATTCTATACTATTATTATTTTGTGTTGAATTTGGAATTAGTTTTGTCCTTTATAAAGAAGTATTAGTTATTAAAGTTTTTTCAATTATAACATGCATTTGAATTTAATTTGGTAAATTGATCGGTCACCATTTCTATGTTGTTTTTCACACTTATTTGACGTTTAATCCACGAATTGGTAATTTTTATTTTAGTCTTCTTATTGTTTTTAAATAAAATCTATTGTTTTTATGTTTTCCTTGAATCATATGTTTTTCTAGTGATTATGTTATATTTTGTGCATTTTACGCGTTTGGTAGTATTCTTGATGATTTCAGGTCCATACCGAGAAAGGCAAAGGACTCGAGCGAAGAAATAGGAGATTTCAAAAAGTCGGAGGAGTTTTTCAAGCAATTTCAGTGGCCTGACACAGCCACCCGTGTCACCTGACACGGGCCGTGTCAGGAGAGGATATATGAAGGCGTGTTTGAGGAGAAAGCAGGGGGCTGACATGGGCGCCCGTGTCAGCTGACACGGCCCGTGCAGCAAGTCTGGCATGGTTACTTCTTGGATTTGTGGAACAGGGAGCCAACTCGGCTGCCCGTGTCAGCTGACACGACCCGTGTTGGCCTGGGCGTGTCACCTCCCAATTTTCTGTCATCTTTGACTATTTTGACCCCTGAGGGTATTTTTGGAATTTCCTGACTTTTGTATTAGATCTGTTAGTATTTGAGATTGATTTTGGAAAGAAAAAAGGGACTTTTGACAAGAGAAGAATTTGACGAGAAAAGATTGAGCGATCAAGAACGAAGGGAGAACGAAAGGTTTTCAAGCGCAGGAGCAATTGAAGATTAAAAGTAATCCCCAAATATTGTTGTAATATTAAATCTAATTGTTGAATTTACTTTTATTATTATGAGAAGATTACCGCCCAATGTTAGGGGGTGTCCCAGAATTGCTATTGTATTGATATTGATTTCTTCATTTGAATGACATAACACTTATTCTATTAATCAAGTTTTATCGTTCAATGATTTTATAACGTTTTCAATCGGACAAATTGATTTAGTTTTACGGTTAATCCTAGGTCGGAAAAACCATTATTAACACAATTTGATCGATAATGCCTCAGTAGATATTTCCTAGGACTAGGAATACCCTGTTGCACTTGAATACTGTTGAAACTATTTTCAATGCTTGATTTCAAATTGATTATCTATGGACATAGTAATTTGATTATGATTTTAAGAGGTTTTCTCACTAAGGTTTTAGGAGTAAATAAAATTTGCAGTCAAGAACTTGATAAAAGTTTGGTTATGTTTTTGAAATAAGGATTGATATTTTTGCAAGGCAATTCATACATTGCCCATAGTATGCTATCATATCTTGTTGAAACTTATTCATGATTTTGTTTATTTTAAATATTGTATTTTATCATAGTCAAACCAAATCTAAGAACCCAATTGACTTTTGTTTGATTGAATTCAAATCACGCTTATATTGTCTGACGCAGTTCTCGAGATCGATATTGGGGATAAATCCCTTATTTTAACTACCATCGACAGAATAGTACACTTGTTATTTCTCCGATCAAGTTTTTGGCGTCGTTGCCGGGGACTGCCAAAATATAAGCTAAATTTTATTCAATTGAAATTTTGTTGCTCTGCGACTAAAATTTTACTTTTGTTTGTTTTTAGATTAATTTCTACTATAACTAATTTTTGTCTAATTTTTGTATGCGAGGAAAGTCCTCAGCTGAGTTTCTTTTTGACACAGAGCCTGAAAGATCACTGCACGCGAGACGCCGTCAAGTGAAACAAGCAAGACTGGCAATGTTAGAAGAAGAAATTTCGGTTCATTCTAAGCATTCTGATTCAGAGTCCAACACAGATACAAAGACACATCCAGAAGGAGTGATAATGGCTAGAATTCCACCAGCAAAAAGACTTCTGGGTGATTATGGAGGAGAAAATGCTCCAGCAGGTCGGTTGACCATCGTGAATCAACCAGTTAATGTAGCAAACTTCCAACTTAACCAAAAACAATCCGTCAGCTCAAAAAGAGACCATTTACTAGAAAAATCAATGAAGATGCAACTAAGCATTTACAGAGGTTTCTTACAATGAGCACAACGTTGAAAATTGAGGGACATTCGGAAGAAGCTAAAAAGTTACGAATGTTTTCATTCACTCTTTCTGAAGATGCCAAAGAGTGGTTCTATTCTTTACTTGCCGGGAGTATTATTACTTGGGAGGAGATGGAGACAACTTTCTTGAATAAGTATTTTCTAGCTTCCGTTTATATTCGAAAGAGATATGATATTGTGAATTTTAAACAGAAGGAAGGAGAGTCACTTAGAGATGCATACAAAAGGTTTAAAAGGTTATTGGTTGCTTATCCTACACATAACATGGACCAAACAGAACAAATGCAGATGTTTGTAAATGGCCTCAGAATGAAGACAAAACAACTTTTTGATATAGCTGCTGGTGGCTCTTCCAACTTTACAACAACCACTGGTATCAAAAAGATCATTGAAGCCATTTCTGTAAATGAACACCTGGAATGTATGATCGAAGTGTGAGTAAGCTTGAAGGGGTGATCGATTTGAAACTCGCTAATCAAGTAGTGAAGATGGAGGATCAAATCACTGCTGAAGTTGAGTGGAGACTGAAAGATATGAATATAGGTACTCAAACTGTAGCACAAGTGCAACCGGTACAAGCTGTTAATTGTGAGATTTGTGGGGGTCCTCATTTTTCTATGCATTGTGTAGCCACAGCTCAGCAAATTGAAGCAATTAATTTTTTGAAGCAAAACAACCCTTATTCTAATACTTACACTCCGGGCTGGAAGAACCATCCAAATTTTTCCTGGAAAGACCAACAAGGGAATGCACAGAAACAAGGACCTACTCAGTACCAAAACCAACCATAACAACAATAGTACTAATCTCAACAACAGCAGCAACCACCGTATCAACAACCTCAGCAACAGTATCAACAACAAGCTCCAAACAGATTGGGAAATTGCCATTGAAAAGATGGTCGCTCAAAGTATCCAGTTCCAAGAAGCGACCATAAATAATCAGAGAAATACTAATGCTTCTATTAAGAATCTGGAGGTTCAAATAGGTCAGATAGCACAACAGATAACAAATTCTCAAGCACAAGGTGACCTACCTAGTGCAATAGTGACAAA